TACATCTTTCTCTTTTGGCATCAGGCCTCATAAGGCCTGAAAGAATATGCCACGTGTTGGTTTTCAGCAGAAAAGAAGCCCAATCAACGAGTGACAACATCTCCAAATGTGTTGTCTCAGACTTTTTGCTTGCCACCGAAATTGTCCGAAGTGGTACATCAAGAGCTAAACCCAGTCGGTTCGCTAGCAAAGAACGAGTATCCCTTTCAGGATTCTTTGTCGAGCACTTCGAAAGCCGGAGCAGCCCACCTATTTCGCCAGCCTTCTCCTCACCCAGGTCCTTCACGACTGCCCGTGCAGTCTTGATGGCTCTCGTACATGGGGCCTCGGCAAACACAAGGCTTCGGGAAAACATGTTTGGAAAAGCAAGCACACTCAAGCGGCCTAGCTAGCACATTGCAGAAGCGACACATTGCAAAGTGTTACAGATAGCTGCATGCACAGGAAATCGTTTTGGCTCCGTCCGATGCACTCGTTGCTTGCGAAAAGGCTTCACGACAGGTACCTCGTCGGAGGTGGAAATTTGAAAGCTCTGTACACGACATATGTCATGAAACGATCGTCTGCATCAGGCATCGAAGCTTGAACCGTGTCACCACCGAGCTTGATGTTCCTGCACCCAGCTTGACCTCACGGATATTAGTTCCATATATGTGCACACTGGTAATGATTCGTTTTACATCAGCACCAACGTAGAAAAAACGATCGTCATCTAGCCAAGATGCTCTTGAACTTTTCGATTAAAGCTGCTTCTAGCATAGCCGGACCAAGCTGTTCAGTTGAGCAGTACAGAACGACCATTCCAGCCCACTTGTCTCGAGCATGAGCATAGCCATAAAGCTCGTTTCCCCATCGCCACGAGGGGTTGTGAGTAAACCCCACTTTCCAGATCAGGGGCTCGTGCTTTCGGAAAAGCTTTTCCATCACCCGGATAGCATGTAGCAAAACCTTACCAGCCACGGAACCCGATGCGGGAAGATCGTATTTGATTCGATCATCGGAAGCTTGTCCATCCGTGCTGCCGATGCTCTTGATGCCGGAGCTAGCTACACTTGCAGTGTCGGAATCAGCAGCAGTTTCGATGTCTTTCCCAAGGTCTTGTGCCGTGTTGTTTTCTTGACCACTGGCAGACCTGCTTGAAGCTGTGGCCCAGGGAAATGGAAGCACATCTTCCTAGGCTGTTTAGTTCACGAAACAACACGAGAAGAGCTCGTATATATTTATCAGCAGACAGAAAAAACCTTGAACAAACTTGCTATTGCACATTTAGGATCATTGCGGTGGCTTGTGAACAGATCTAGCAGCTCATCCTCGGGGCTTTCGATGGAAGACGTGGCGACTTCCATCATTCAGGTAGCTTATGTACCTTCGGTTGTAAATGCCCTCATCCTTTCTGAGAGCCCGGACTGAAACAAGGCAACGAGAGCTTGAAGAGATGCATATGTAGGCATGCACTTTCCTATCAATGCAAAAGCCTGTGGCGACTGCATCGGATGGTTGCTGGGAACCCTGCTCCGTCGCCGATGTCCTGCGACAGTGTACGGACGAGGTGCCCGGCTGAGGAACCTGGCATAAGGTGCCAGGTTGAAGCAGTTGGGTGGTTACCTTTGGCGCTTTTATGGTACGAGTACAGGATCTTAATTCGTTTTCTTGGCAGCTTCAAAATATATACATATAAGCCTCGGAGGTTTGGGTGGCTAGTATATATATAGTGGCATCTTTCCTACGATGCTAATCTGTTTTGGGCTTCTTTCTGTCAAATAAAACTAGCAGGCTCGGAGTCTTGTTGAGTTCGGGGTTTAAGGTTTATATAGGTTGACTTAGGGCTTAGGGTTTGGGGTTTCAGGGGTTTGGGAACATACTTATGACTTGGTTTGCGGTTGAATTGTGCTCGCGAACGAAGCAGCTAGCAGAACTCTCATTTCTTTCCCGGTCCCCTGCATGTCAGATAAGCTCGGCAGCTAATTTTTGCTGGAGACAGCAACATGTGGACCTGCGGCAACAACCACAGATCAGGAAGCCTTCAAAAGTCGCGAGGTTCTGGACACAAACTCATCTATGTTCCTGAAAAGCTAGACCCTAAAGCCCTATATACACGTCTTTATAAACCTAAAACCCCTCAGATCTACTTCATCTACTTCTTCGGCTTCGCCGCTTTGGCCTTCTTGGCCGGGCGAGGCTTCTCGGTTTCCTCGGGTGGCTTCTGGGAAGCCTTCGGACCAGCTTTCGGAGCAGCCTTTGGCTTTGCTTCCTCAAGCTTCTCGTGGTATTTCTTCGCATTCCTGTGATCAACACAAGCAGTTGGATTGGCTGCATTGGAATAACAGGGCTCAGTCCTGATCTTCATTTCGCATGATGCAGCTCGGGAGCACCTTAAGTAAATTTTAGGGGCTTCGGTTTGGAACCACAAGAACTGCATAGAGTATTCCTGCATGAATGAGTTCTCTAAGTTGATCACCC